ATATAATTTAATATGTTCTAATATGTAAATACGGCAACGTTGTAAATACCGTGTTTAAGATATTTTGCATCAAATTATAAATTGTAAATTCGGTATCCATAAAATTGAAAGAATTATCTTACATTCTTATGGTCTAATGTGAATTGAAGATTTTGCTTTCTTCTGATTGAATTTTGATTTATCCATGGGCTTTTATGGTCTAATGTGAATTGAAGATTTTGCTAGGAGAAAGTGAAGGGATCATTTAGAGTGTTTTTTTGGATTTGGATTAAAAAGTTTCGCAATGCAAGAGAGTTCTTTTAAGGTTTATTTACAAGTTTGGGATTACGGGAGTTGTTATTATTTACAAGTTTGGGATTAAGGTATATTTACAAGTTATTATGCAATTACGGGAGTTATTATTATGCAATTACGGAAGTGGATTTAGGTGGTGGTGGAAGATGATACGGCGTAGATCAGTTAGGTAATGTAGATCGACGGTTGTGTATGATCTCATGCATGACCATGTGAAAAGGTTCATGCGTTTTGTCATCTTTTTTAATTTATGTCACTATTTTGAGTGTTTATTATTTTTTCTAGTTTTTATCACTTTTTTAAATAGCGTGTCATTGTTTTTTTCTATCATTTTTTTGAGAAACAAACATCACTTTTTAATAAAAATGACATTGCATGTTATTTTTTAATAGAAAAGTGACACTTGACTTTATACCGTAGTTTACTTTCAAAAAAATTTTTATATGATAAATTGGTTGGCTAAGTTCGTAAATGACGGTGGCTGTGAATTGACTTAAAGATGTTTGACGTTTTGATTAGTATTTTGTCGATGAACTGACTTAAAGATAATTGATGGTGAATGGAGAAAGAGGAGGGACGGTGGTTGTGTCACTCTTTTTATTATTATTTATGTCACTTTATTGAACCGAATCCAATGTTTTAATTGGTGTTTTGTCAGTACTTTTTGAATTTCTGTCACTTTTTTTTTTCGAATATTTATCATTTTTTAAAAATTTTGTTACTCTTTTTAGTATTTGTCACTTGTTTTCGTTACTTCCTTGATATTTCTATTTCCTTTTTGAGTGATAAACATCATTTTTAATAAAAATATCATTGCATGTCAATTTTTAATAAAAAAAAAGTGACACTAAACTGCGTAAAATTAAATAGTTATACCGTGTCACTTTTTTATAAAGAGGTGATACACTGTCACCTTTTTTTTTACACAGTATTTTTTGCTTTCAAAATATATTTTATATGATTTTTTAAAAGAATCCTTATTTTAGGAGTACTTTTGTAAGTTTTCCAAAATAAATTCAAATAATGGTTGTCAAAGCAAGGGGAAGCTTGGATTGCCACCATTTAAGATTCAAAGACAACCTATTTCCCCGTAGGCAAAAATCATAGTCTTCCCAGGGTGGCTCTGGCACTAGGCTGTAGCCCAATGCTGTCCAAGCTCAGGTTCAATAAAAATCGTACAATTAAATGAACAGAAAATTTTGTATTTGCATCATTACGAAATAAAAATTCAAAAAAAATACTATATTATGTTTATAATCCAGAAAATACTATCATGATTGGTAAATAATTTAAGAAGTACGACACACCAAATTTAGATTTCAAATAGTGGTGTAACTGACATTTTTCAAATCATCCTAACATTAAGCCTATCAATTAATTACTCTCCAAAATCAATACAAAATTCATAATTTACAATGAACAAAAGGTACCCAAATTTGTCTCTGTCCAAAATCAAAATCTGATTTTCTTTCTTCTTCAATATTAATCCATAAAGAATTAAACATTGTTGCTGGTATATATATATGGTTTCACAATCCATACACAGTATCCTCCATTTTTGTTGACTTGAATGAAATATACGGTGGCATGTATGTATATGATATTAAAATTGTGATTGGATTTTCTTAGAGCCACTTGTTCGACTGTGTATGTATAAATTAAAAAATAATTACGAGCTAAATCATTCCATATTCTGAATTTGGGCATTCATAGTGTTACATCAATTCAAAATTACATGCTGTTCATTTTGTGTTGGAAATCTGATCATGAAATAACACAGTTAATTGAATATGGGCAAATTGAAGTAAGAGACGTATTTGTTGGAGTAAAATTAGCCCATAATTGATTATCATGAATGAGTTAAGTGATATTCCCCATTTCTTTTTTACTACAGTTTTAAAGTAATTTTGGAAAAAAAAAATAGGGAAGATTACCTATTCAAGAAAATAAGTTTAGCCTATTTCAAAAATAAGAACAAAAGTTTGAAATTTCCAAAATCAAATTTTTATTAAAA